CTTGTTAGCGGTAATGCCGAAGTGAGTAGATAAAAGTCAATAAGATCTGTCCTCTTGTCAAGCGCTCCTGGCCATCCACCAGATTAACCGGTTTGGGAACGGTCCATCGTGGAACGCTCAGCCGGCGTGCAGAGTCGGTGTGAATTAACACTCCCACTCACCGCTACTGCACGGCGTTCGTCTTCGTTAAGGATCGCTACTCAGCGGCGTTCCTCTTCTTGATCCCGCTTGCCTCGCGAAGGAACGCTAGCGACTTCGTTCCAAGCGCCTTCGTCAGCATGTCGGCAAGTTGGCGCTTCGTGTCGACGTAGTCCACCTTGATCGTAGAGCGTTCCACATTCTCCCCCAAGAAGTGGGATGTCGAAGGTCCATGTGCTTGGTCCTAGCGTGATACTCAGCGTTACTTGCAAGAGCGATAGCACCTTGATTGTCCTCCCAGAACTGCGTCGCTCCCACTGCTCGTGACCCATGTCCTTGAGAATAGCACGTGTCCACAGTACCTCTTGCGTACACAGACTCAGAGCCATGTACTCTGCTTCCGCTGAGCTGAGTGCAACCGTTCTCTGGTACTTGGACTTGAACACAACCGGAGCGTTCCCAATCATGACCATGACACCTGATACGGAACGCCTGTCGTCAATGTTGCTTCCCCAGTCTGCGTCCGTGAGCGCCTCTGCCTTGACACCTTGCGTTCCACTTTGGTAGACGATACCGTGCTGCCGAGTTGTCTTCAAGTACTGCAGGACCCGTATCGCTGCCTTCCAGTGTTGCGTTCCAGGATTCTCCAGGAAGCGTGACAACTGCGTTACAACGTACGCAATGTCCGGTCGAGTGCATGTTGTGATGTACATCAGGCATCCGATCAAGGGATGGTACGGGCTTGACTGCATTTCACGTCGTTCCTTCTCCGTGGCTGGCGACATTATCTTCGACAGCTTCATGTTTGACGCGCATGGGTTATCCAACATCTTGGCGTTCCGTTGGTTGAAGCGTTCTACAATGTCGTCAATGTACCGAGTTTGCTTGATCATCAGCGTTCCAGCTGCCTTATCATGATCAATCTCCATCCCCAGGATGAACTTTGCCTCGCCAAGCTCTTTCATCTTGAAGGTACTCTTCAGAGCGCCCTTTACTTCGCGAATCTCTTCGCGTGTCTTCGCCGCAATGATCATGTCGTCCACATACAAGCACACGTACACGAATGCGTCCCTGGAACGCTTGACGTAGACACACTGGTCGGCTCCACAACTCTTGAAACCGTTCCGCAGGAACACACGATGGATAGTCTTGTTCCATGCACTTGCAGCTTGCTTCAAACCATATATGGCCTTTAGCAGCTTGCACTTCATGCGTTCAGCGTTCTCGAGACCTAGTGGAACGTCCATGTAGACCAAATCCACCAAACCACTATTTAGGAACGCTGTGTCAGCATCCAGTTGCTCCATAATGTAGTCGCATGCCACACACACAGCGAGTACAACTCGAATCGAGTTCATGTTTGCAACAGGAGAATACGTCTCAAAAAAATCGATTCCAAACTTCTGCTTGAACCCTTGTGCTACTAGGCGTGCCTTGTAACGGATAACACGACCGTTCTCGTCACGATTCTTGGTAAACACCCAGCGACATCCAATGGAACGCGTAGCCGTTCCACATGGAACCAACGTCCACGTTCCGTTCTGGGAATGAGAGTGTAACTCAGCCTTCATAGCCCGACGCCATTCAGCTGCTTCATCACTGGCGATAGCTTCTGCGTACGTGCTCGGCGTATCCGGGACGCCTCCGATGCTGGCCGCGTATGCCAACACTGCCTCTGCGAGTAAACAGTCTTCATCGATCCTAGGACGCTTAGGGAACGGCGGTCCATCACTACCTCTTTCAGACTGACGTTCCACATCGTCATCGTAGCCGTTCCCAAGCAGAAACACCGGTTCTCGAGGTCGGGTTGAGCGTTCCGTTTCAGGATGGAAGATTATCCGGTCCTCTTGGAACGCAGGAGGTTGTGAGCGGTACGTTGCCAGTTCCAGTCCACTCGACCGGCGTTCCTCCGGTGCGGGTAGCTGTGGTAGCTCTGCGTTCCGTTCCGGTTCAACATCGTCCATCTCAATGTCTTGAGCAGGTTCTTCCGCTTCTTCCATCGGTTCATCTTGAACAGACTGTCGTTCCACTTCTGGAGCTGGAGCCACGGTGTCGTCATCGTTCCTTGTCACATGGATGATCGTTCCAGAAGCTGGCGACGGCGTGTCATAGATACCGCCCACCTCACGCTCGTCCAGCTTTACCGATTGTGACACCTTGACCTTGGATGCATCCAAGTCGTAGACACAATACCCTTTTACGTTCTCTGCGTATCCGAGGAACGTGCACCTGAAGCTCTTGGGCTCCAATTTCGTTCTCTTCACGTCATCCACGTGAGCGTACTCTTGTGATTTAAACACACGTAGGTGTTCCATCCGTGGCTTCACTTGGAACGCCAACTCATATGGCGTGACATCCGAGTTGGATGTGTTCGTGGAACGGTTGATAAGGTACACTGCAGTACTCACCGCTTCAGCCCACCACTCCGTTGCCATAGACTTGTAGTATAGCATGCTTCGAGACTTCTCCATGATGGTACGGTTCATGCGTTCCGCAACACCGTTCTGCTGAGGGCTGTATGGAACGCTGCGTTGATGCACGATGCCATTCCGCTGACAGAGTTCCAATACCGTCTTGCTTACAAACTCCGTTCCATTATCGGAACGCAGGCACTTCAATCGTTCCCCCCACTGATTTTCATACAGCGCCTTGAACTCCTTCAGCTTGCTGCCCACCTCACTCTTGCTCTTCATGAAGAATGTCACGACATACCTTGAGTAGTCGTCTACAAAGGTCAGCACGTACTTGGCACCCCCCTTTGAGAGCGTTCTCATTGGTCCCATAACGTCTGTGTGTACTAGTTCCAACACACGCGTTGTCTTCGTCAGTGATCGTGACGGGAACGCCGTCACGGTCTGCTTTCCCTTCATGCATCCACCGCACAAAGTCTCGCACCCCCTTCTTACTGGCGGGATACCGGTCGTGGAACGCTGGGTCTTCGTCAGTGCGTCCTTGTTGGGGTGACCCATGCGAGCGTGCCAAAGCTCTCACTCGCTGTCAGGACCGGCGTATTCCACGAAACGGGCCTCCTCCTGCTGACAGTCCAAAAGGAGCGCCTTACCGACCTTCTTCCCTGACGCTATTGCAGCGTTCCGTCCCCAAATTACACAACTGAAACGCTGGAACTCCACACTCATACCGCGTTCCGCGAGCTTCCGACTGACAATAAGCGTCTATCGAGCCCGGGGATGTGGAGCACGTCCACCATACGGATGCGTCTACCGTCCAAACCAGTCAACTTGACCGTTCCAGTTCCTGCGACGTGCAGCTTCTTGCCGTCTGCAATCGTCACCTCCATGCTAGTGTCCAACGACTTGTACTCCAACAGGTCGTTCCGGTG